GCTTCAGATTAGCTGTTCTGTTAGATACGAAACGATTGTTCAAGCGGCTGTCGAAGATTCTGTGCTTATACGTAGTGGAAGCGGTGGACACAAACTGGTGACATTCGGCACGTTGGATGGAAAACCTGGCGTAGTTGCCCCTTACTCCTGGATATACCTCAGTAATATCGAAGCTCCATCTATTAGCAGCTCTGGGCTCGGTCCCTTTCCACCATTAGTGCTTAATTTCTTGCTCAACATTAGTCGCCGGCCATGGGTTATTAATCAGATTTCATTCTTCTGAAATGGTCGCTGAACTAAAGGAGGTTATTTCCCCTCACCGCCTGTTGTCCATCGTCCCACCTTCGTTGTTTAAGAATTAATTTTTCGATTCTCTGTTTTCTAACAGAAGTTTTCAAAAGCGAAACAAAACACTTTTGAAAGGATTTTGATTTTAAGGTTGAGTACAGATCAAAGCGTATGGCCACTCCGCGTTTGGGTTTATGTAGCAATTATTTGAGTCGTCTTTGTGTTGGTGATACTCTTTTGGCCAGAGTTCGTCCTGGCACTTTCAGGTTACTTGTTTTACATTTGTTTTTTCGTTCTTTTTTTTGGCGCGAGAGGAAACATATGGAAGGATGAAGCATTGTGCTTTGGAGGAGACGGGAGTTAGTGAAATGTATTATTATTTTTGCGGGACAAAGATGGGATTATCAATTAAAATAAGTGAGTTAACATTGGCAAGGAACTTAGTGTAGAGGGCAAAAGTTTCACTACCGCCGTAGCAGTAAGTGGGGAGTCACCTAGTGTGGCTAGGTGACTCTAGCCACACTAGGTGACTCCCCACTTATTTCTTCGTCTTGGGAGGGCTCCTTTTTTGCTAGAGTTTGCCGTGTGAGTGTTAAATTATCACTAGCGGATGAGCTGGAGGACTAGAAGTGCGGAGGAAATGCGGAATATCTAGTATTTATTGTCGTAAGTGGAGGAAATTGAGAAACGAACTGCAATATCATTAGCAGGCCTGTACCATAGGGTGGTTCAGCTTTAGCCATAACAATCGTAAAAAGTTCCTTAGATGCGTTAGTGAAAGTGTAATACGCTCTGGCGAAAGCGATTAAGAAACTGTTAAAGTGATAAGTGGAACACTGTACAGGAAATCTGGAAGTTAGAAACGTTGCATTGCTTAGAGTGTATAGTTAATGCTGTCTAACAACCTTTGTTGGGCATTTACCAAAAA